TTAAGCACAAAAAATAATGAAAGAAGCTTAAAAATGTATATGCTTATTTATTTTTTATATTTTTTTTTAAATCCATAAAACAGACAAAGATGCCTAAAAATGTAAGATCATCCAATTAAAATCATTTTTTGTTCATTTTTATTTATGCAAAAATGCTGAATAGTTACAAGAAATTAATTTCAGTCATTCATTTATTAGTAGAAAATTTTCTTTTTTTCAAACATAATAAATAGAATAAAAGTTATTCATGGTGAAAAATATTTATCAGGAAGTTTATGTGTATATATATATATATATATATATATATATATATATATATATATATATATATATATATATACTAAAACAGCTTAATCTGACACAAAGGTAAAATAAAGTGGTAAGAAAATTATTGTTGTATGAATTTTCCAAAATAGGAGAGGACCTGCCTTGAAAATTAGAATTTGAAATTCTGGCTTTTAGCTGGTCTTGAGTGTTAGCCACTGGCACTGTGGAAAATACAAATCTTTTAGTTCTGTAAATTGTTCAGACTTCACATTGTAACTGAATAACTTATCTCATTCATATTGGTGGGAAACCTTTCACAGGCATTTATTTTGTTTCAAAAGCCAAGAAGGGAAAAAATGTACAAAAATATATTTGTTCGTTTACAAGCATTGAGTTTTTTTTAAAAAAAAAATATTTGTTTCCTTTATTTATTTTTTTTATAGCAAATGTTTATAAAAAGTATTTGTTATCTCTGATCAGTAATAGAAAAGAACACAAGTTGAGTTGCGGTAATGTTACCTGTCAAAAAGAAAAAATAAGTTTTATAATTTCAAAAGGTATTTTAGTAAAAAAATGCTAAAATTATAAAATACTGGTTTAAGTGTATAATATTAACAGCAGTCCAACTAGAAATATCTGGTTGAACTCTATAAATAGCAACATTAGATTTATTTTATATGAATACAAAAGTATTGCAAAATTCCTGAAAGGCCTAAAAGGAAAACTAATTGTCCTATTTTGAAATGTGATTATTTTTCCTCTTTTTTTTTTTTAATCAGTGAAGATATAGAAACTGTTGTCCTTAGCCCTCTAGCCTCACTTTATGTGTATTGAAGTAAATATACAACAACCAAAATGCTTTCATTCATATGATGGATCGTAATACTGATCTCGGACCAAACTGGCATAAAAGAGATAAGCTCTTTTTATATATATATATATATATATATGGTCTCTTGCATTAGCCTGACAGTTATTTTATGGGGAGTGACGGTTATATTCCAAATTATTCTAGAGGCTATTGAGCAGAAAAAATTGTGGATCCAAATGTGATTATTTGTAGCTATTTCATAATATTATTTATTTGTAACATATGTAGCCTGAAGATTGTGTTGAAGCATGAAACTGTCTCTGCTTGGTGTTGACTTCAGTGTCCATTTATATATATATATATATTATATATATATATTACTTCCTTGCTTACTTCAAAAGTTATTTTTTAATGGATACCTGTGTTTGAAATATATACCCAGTTTTAATTTTAAACAGTGTATATTATGTCTATCCACCCTGCACACTTGAGAAATCTTAATAAAGAAAATCTCAGTGACAGAGTGTACATCCTTACAAGGAAAAATAGAAATTGGCTAGTCTGTGACATTATGATCTAAAGCATGCAGAATCAAACAGTGGTTTCTCCTGCAAAGGGAGACACAGATTCAAACCCTGTTGGTGAGCACATTTTCTTTCTTGTGTGCTCAAACAGATAGATGTTTAAAATAAAAAACAAATAATCTATTTTAAATGCCGGTATCCACTAAAAATAATGTTTGAAGTAATAAAAATATCAGATTCAAAATAAATTATAAGCATTTTCAGATTTGACATTGCTGATTAAACATTTTTGTTTTTTTTCATAATATCAAAATGTCAGAATAAATTCAATTATTTTATATTTTAAAATGAGAAAAAAAAGATTCATTTTTTTTCTTTTTTACACATACTTGCAGCAAGCAACAAAAATGGCTGTGTTAGCAGATGCTGTGAGATGAAACCAAATTGATGTTTTACCACCTTTATTATGGCTACCATTACTGATATTTCAGTACCTACAGACAATAGCTGTTGCTTACCATCTAGATTATTGGAGCACACTGAAACCCATAAAAGCAAACAGTTTCTGTTGCTTGGATTGTTTTTGAAATCCTCTTCTCGAACATAAAAAAGTTCAATGTTTACATCAGTCTCTACTCTTGTTCTTCTTTTTTTGTCTTTATTCATCAGACAAAACATTTTTCTTCAAAGTAACTTGACTTTCAAATCTTACAATCTCAATCTATTTCAGTATATAAACGAATAATAGTGGTCAATAAATTTGACTTCAAATTGATTTCAGAAATCAATGGCTTGTCACCCAGCCAGTTTGTAGTTGAGTGGATTGAAAAAGCAGAGCTGGTATATAATGTGTGGGATGAAACAGATTGAGCAAATTGTGTTTGAGTGGTGGGGAATTTACTGTCAATCAGAAGTTGACCGTGGAGTAGAAAATAGATATTGCCTGTATATGAGGTTTACAACAGATCATTTGTGGCATATGAGCAACTCATAGTGAGTCTGTAAATGTATTTATTACGATGCTGTTTGGAGGCATGTCTGATTGTGGCCTACCATGTGTGTTTGCAGCAGGGTTGCAAGGCCATGACAAACAGCTGCTTCATACTTCTGCAAAAATAGACAAAATGACTATAATTCAGCTGTTAGCCAGTAATGAAGGAAGAAATGATAGGAAAGGTTCTGGTAGTGGCAACTGCTCATCTGATGCAATTGAGTATATCAGTGGACAAAGAAGCAAAGTCACATGTTATCTTTTTGTCAAAGTGGTTTTGATGAGAATTACAATTGTAATGGTATCATATCAATAGACATTTATTGAATAGCAACCAAAAAAGATGAGGATTTTTAATAATCACTAAATATAATAAAGACATGTCAAAATTTGCTAATTATATGGCAAATAAACTGTGAGAATGATCAACTTCATTGAAATAAAATGTAGGTAACCATAAATAATTATGAATGAAAATTAAATTATTATCATCAAACTTTACAATGTATTTTGTTTAGCACAAGTTTCATTTTATATTTTAATTGATCTATAATGACATACTTAGAACATAGACCTTTTCCTTCTGATAGCTATTTAATTGATAGGCATTTTCCTATATATGAATTATCTGAAAGAATGATGAATTTGTAAAATGATTTATGATTGATTTCTAAAGAAAATAAGTTTTTTAAAACATGGAATACTTCATAGATGTACTGAAAATGTAAGTCAAGCTTCTTGTGCCAATTAAAATTGCTCTAATCTCCATATTACTCACAAATAATTATTCATTGTATTTTCTAATGATAGTTTGCAGATGCAAAATTAGTATAGAGTAAAAAGATTTCTGTGAATACAAAGGATTTTTAAAATTTTTAATCTCTAAGCATCATTATTATTATTTCTTTTACATTTAGGGTAGATATACAATTATGGCACCCAAGTCTCAAGGAAAAAATATACCTGCAGGCAGTTTTATTGTGCCTCTCTGACATCTATTTTCTGAAGTGCTAGCATTTTCTCACATAACTTTTTGAAGCCTTGTTCAATTGTGTCCGTATTCTTTATGGAACATGGGTGGATAATGCATGGTCGGTTGGCTGACACCAATTTCCAATTGAATAACTTTCGAAGCTGAAATTATATATACATCAAGACATATGATGGTTAATTTACTGAGTCATCATTTTATTCTTACTTTATACAGCAGCTTTAAATGAGAGACTATTATTGCTCTTTGATCTCTGTAGAAGAAATACATCATGTTAAGCAAGAATTTTAATTAATTTTTTATAATCAAATTTGAATACTATCTGTTTAACTAAAATTACTTGCTGGCTTATAACAAAAGATCTTGGACATGATGCTCCCAAACATATGGCAGACGAAATTAAGCCCAGTAAATACTTATAAAAAGGTCTCTCATAGAATTGGCATAAGTATTAAAGGTAGGCAGACACAAACTATTTCAACAGATTTTGTCTGCTAACTCAACATTTTAGTTTCAAGTAGTTGTAGGAATTTTCAAAATTAGAATTTTTTTGACATTTGGGGTACTAAAAATCAAAAAAATTAGAATTTGCTTCTTTTAAGTGCAAAATAAAACCAGGTCTTTAACATATTCAGTTAGTGATATAAACATTATATGATAAAAACAATGGTAGACTAGTTAATTTATATTTCGTAGTTAAAATATAAATTCTTTATTTAACATAGGTTTATAAATGCTGAGGTAAAGTTAAATGTGTTATATTTTCTTTGTATCTGTTGATTATTTTATACAAATTATAAAAACAGGCAAGAAAGAGGATGTAACATACTATGAGGTGATTTTATTGAAGAATGTATTTTTGGAAATAGTTAAATAATTGATATAACAATTTGATAATTAGATGTAATAATAAATAATATTAAATTAGGAATAACAACAATAATACAAATATTAATAAAATAAAAACTTTAATGTAGTAATATTATTTGTAAATATTAGGAAAGAATATTAGAAAATAAATTACAACTTTCACAAAGGTATTTTTGAGGAACAAAAGAAAATTAGAAACAACTGGTTAGGGGGAATTTAAGAGACAGATATAAGCAATAGCAGATGATCAATTGCAGATATGGTTATGCAAAGGATCGCTAAGAAGAGATTGATTCACTGATTTGTTTTCTATGGCTTATCAAACTTCTACAGGTTTTTTAAAGCCAGAAAATATTTTTAGATTTAGATAATAATGATTTACTGATACAAGTCCTACTAATTAACCTATAGCTGGAGGGAGAAGAGGTGGATTCATACCTTTCCCAAGGGTATTTGCAAGTAAGTGAATGTAACAAACCCGACTGGAATTGGAACTTGGCTCTCCAATTTTGAGCTGTTATCCATTACACCACCTGCACATCCAAGCTTACAGCACCTGGTATTACCAAGTAGTCACCCATCTAGGAACTAACCAGGCTTAACATTGATTAACTTCAGTGCTCATATGAGAACTGGTGTTTCAATGTGATTTGACTGTAAGCCCCTAAGAAGAGAAACAGAATCTCAAAATAAACATATTAGAACAAAGCTACTAATGTAGCAAAAATAAACAAAATACAGAAAAACAGTGATGGGCACCTCTACCAAGAATAAAATGAGATGGTAAAAAAAAACATCAGCGGTAAATGCAGCAAGTTGGCTGAAAAGGAATATAAAAACGACAGAGTAGGAACAGTCATTTACTTGGAACTATGCAATTGACTTGGCTTTGGCAATACAAACAAATAGAATAAACACCAATCAGAGGTTGTCATGAAATGCAAAAAGAATAAGATACTTTGAAATCCAGACTAACCACTCCATCCAAATGAGAAGACTGGATCTGAATGACCTGCCACATGATGTGGAAGTGCAAATATCCACAGAGTGTAATTGAAAGAAAGTAAAAAAAAAACTGAAAAATGCCAAGACCATGCCCAGATACTGCAAAAAACGTGGATCATGAAGGTTAGGGTTGTGTTTATAATATCTGAACCTCATGGAAGTGTGCTGTAAACACTAGAGGTATGCTTGGATGAATTATAAATTTGATGCCCTTTCTCTTAGGTAATTTCAGACATTATTGCCTTCAGCAGGCCTAATTGAGAACAATAACTGTTTGAATTAATCATTTGTTTCTCTTGAAGTATAGGAAACCCTTCCAGTACCACCATATACAAAGAATTATGTTGTTTAGATGAAGATTGGTATTTGAAAGTTAATGATGATTCATTTCACTTTACCTATCTGATCTCTTGCATTCCACATTGTTATAAATTATCCACTTTTCATCATCCATCACAATTTACTTAAAAAAAATGGAATGTTTAAAATGGTCCAAATGTTTCCTACCTTATTTAACTTTAATTACTTTTGAAATGTTTGATCATTTATAGTACCTTCTTCAGAAACTGCAGAAATCTTTTTGTGTTTGAGTTGCATCTTATTATGCTTAAAATAAAAAAGGAAACCTAAATTATTGCTTATTTCTTTCAATGTTCAATATTTGAATTAACAAAAATATGCTATGACAGTGGTCTTGATCAAAAGCATTCTTTTGTTTAATTATATCATTTGAAACTAAATGTTTTTAATGCCAATTGACAACAAAGATAGAACTTTTTAGGGAACCCATTACTAAGGAATGATTTCTTTATAGTTTTACTATCAAGCATAAATATGCTTCAATAAATTTGCAGACTGGCACTGAATTTTGATTAGAAATTTTCTGTATATAATGTTTGACCTACAAAGCTAATATTGACTATTGAATTAAGTGCATTGACAAAGAAGGAAATCTTACTGAAATATAAATATTTATTTATGTACTTACATAAGTAAAAATTTACAAATGTAATATAGCTAATATATTTATAAATAAATCCAAACAATGAAACATTCAATAATATATTGAAGATTGTTAGTTACAAATTGAAGATTGTTATATAAATAAATCAATAGGAATTCATTTTTTGATAACTGAAAATCTTCAATATACAAATAAAGGGGAATTAATATTATGTCAACTAAAAATTTTCAAATTTGAATAATTTTAGCCATTATTTGCGTAAAATAAAAAATCATTGATTTTAACTTTAAAAGCATTTTAAAAAATATTCAAACTGGTATCTTTATCTTTGTTGTTTTTTATAGCAATGAATTATATATTCTGCTTTCTTGTGGTGAATTCAAGACAAAAGATTCAATTGAAATAGAGAGATGCAATGGGGAAAAAATACTGAAAGTTAGGATCTTCTTTAATTGAAAACAATTATTATTCCATAGATGTATATTTGTTCTTTATATTGTATCATATATTGATAAATCAATAGTTTGATGATTTTTTTTATTTTAGTGTTGTTAAATATCAAACATGGCTTTTATATAGCCCACATAGGATGAAATTAAGATTTAGTGGGTTGTTTTCTTTTATACATACTAACTTTTGCTAAACTGGTTGTTTGTAGTGTTCCTTGCTGTCTAAATTATTTGTGAACAATTGTCTTTAATGGAAGTCACTCATGTCTGTTATAAGTGAACTCCAAGAAAAAACACTTGTTGCTTCTGTGTAGAAGCAGTGACCACATTATTATATAATGAAACAAAAAATATCAGGACAATCTGATTCCACTATAAAGCATCACCCAAAAGAGTATAGCATTGATATTGTTCAGCAAAAATTATATATATGGATTTTACATCATAATGTTGCTCTATTCACCTTTAAGTGTTATGAAGGAGATGCATATATGTAGTTGAATCAGTGGACAGACTGTACAAAACAATGGTTTAGTTTTGCAAAATCTTAAAACTGATCTAAATTCAAAAAAAAATAAAATATGTGTGTGAATTAGTTAATTAGAATTTGAGTTAACAGTTTAAAATCTGCAATATAGGCTTAAAGCTATTGAAGGAATCTCTTTGTCTTTTCCATTCTCAACATAGAAATGACTTGTCAAGAATATTATTTTGAGTAAGTCATTTTTTTCAAATGCATTTCTGTTTAAGTACTTGACAATCACAAGGAAATATGACAATCTATTGAGACAGTTTTCTGCAAATTTTTATCACACTTTTGCATCCTGCCATTACAATTGTCATCAGGTGAATTCAATAAAATTAAAGTGCCAACTTTGGTGGCAAGATTCTTTCAAAGTGCCTATTTTGTGATCAAGATTAACATTCCAATTATCTACAAATTCCAAACATGTATGTATTGTATCTCATGAGAGAAAAAAAGATATTTTTATCTGGGAAAACATTTAGTATATTTTTTGTTAAATCTGCTCATATCCCTGGTTATGTGTTTAAAGTTAACAACATCCAACCACGATTATAACAGTTGTTGGGCTCACTATGACATCACTTTTCCAAATGGTCCAGGTCCATAGAATCTAGAAATTCTTCTTTACATCATTTTCTTACTATTATTCTTCTGAAATTTAAGACATTTATAGATATTTATTTTTTGTTTATCCTTTTTTCCTTTTAAGTGTGTTTGAAAATTTTTTTTGAAAGTTTTCTTTAACTGGTATTGGAACACTTTCCAAGATTATTTCTATGTTATGGAACATTTTTCAAGAATATTTCTATGTTAGTATCTTTCCAGAATAATAGTTTTGCATGAATCATTCATTTCCTTTACAGATTGTAAAAAGTTTCTTAATTTATCTGGAATTTAAGGCTTGGATTTTGTACTATTCCAATAAAATTTATTTGTAAAATAAAGTCTTGTGACAGTGACAAATGATTCAGATAAGAATATGCAGGTGTAGAATCATAGGGAAAAGTGTGAGAAATAACCTTTGTGTCTCAAAGAAATTTAAAAATTTGGCTGAAATATATTTTCTCAAACTGAAGACATGTATCTTTTGTTACATTTAGCAGAAAAATTTACACTATTTACATTAGTCGGACTATTGTCCTCATCTTTGTCATCATATTTGTCACAACGTTTGATCGTTTACATTCGGCCTTCTTCAGGTGATTGGAATTTCAGAACTGAACCCTTTATTTCGATCGCTGGGGTAGACTGTTCTAATTCGTGCCATGTTTTTGATGGATGTGTTATCAGTTATCTCCTGCTAATTTTTCCCTCTGAAAGTTCTCCACTGCCTTAACCAGGAATTGAGATCTCACCTTCTTAAGGCAGTGGAGAACTTTCAGAGGGAAAATTAAAGGAGATAACTGATAACTGACATCCATCAAAACATGGCACGTGGAATTAGAAACTGTCTACTGAGTTCGATAAATAAAGGGTTCAGTTCGAAATTCCAACCACCTGAAGAACACCGGAGCGCATAAACGACGGTCGTTGTGACAAATATGGCTACAAAGATGAGGACAATAGTCCGACTAATGTAAATACTGTACATAATACCTCATCTCAGAAATATAGACAAACTCTGAAAAATTTGCAGTCGAGATGTCAAAACTATCTTTCATTTTGACCACACCATCCACTACTATCAGCCTAAATTTTTTGTGTGCTGACCTAATCCTGAAGATTTTCCCAAGATTCTAGTCACCTATAAAAGCCAAATGACATGTACCTATGATTTTGGAGTTGTTTGGTTTGAGATATTGCCAATACTTGCACACAATAATCATGTAACATGATAGTTTATATTGTCAGTACATAGGTTTTCTCATCATAGTAATGGGCTAATAGGCATCATTCGCTTGTTACAAGAAACATCTGACACTCTGAAAAATATTTTCTTGGGACATTTTCCAATAGAAGTGGGTGGTGTAAATTATCAGCTCAACCCACTTCCCATAATCCAGTATTTTTTTTATCTTTATATTGGAAGAGTTTTTTCACTGAGCTGAGAACTTTTCAACATATTCTCATACTTGAGTGAAAATATTCAGCTACTTGGGTACCATTTTGCATATTAAATTATCATGGGACACAAATTGTGTTAATTCATAAAACAAATCAACACAATTTTGACTAAGAAAAGTTATGCTGATTTGTATTATGTGCCATTCAATGCAGCTGAAAGAGAGAGAGAAATATGTAAATTTAGGCAGTAAGAATTCAATTTAACAAGTTTTATTGAATTCATCCGACAAGGTCTGTCTGCTTAATTTGTTTATGATACTGATATTTACTTCCTGGTAATGTTATGAAACAGTTGAAAATACTCAAACAAAAACAGAACAAAAACATGAACTTTAGACAGGTTATTCACAATTTTGTTCTGGATGTTCAAAAATTAGAAAAATATAATGAATTGTTAGTTGAATTTAGTAAAGCATATATCACATACACACTACAATATAGTCTTTTGCCAGTAGCATGAAAACAATTTTATAGAAAGAAGGTACCAACTAGAAGGATTGAACCTTTACTTAAGTTATACCAGTTGCTTCTAGAACTTGTAAAAACTGTTTTCTCTCATTTCTTGTAAGTTTTTGTTAGTGAAATCTTTTATGATCCTGATTATTGCTCTTTGTACCAAGGTTTTCATGTTTTGCTGGAATATAAAA